ATTGCCTTACTGGCTGTGATTGACAGCAATGGGAGCCAGTGGCTCCCACCTCTATCTCAGCCAATGAGTCCCAGGATAGCCGAGACTCCAGTGCACATCGCTGGATTGAGAGGGGACTTAGGTGAGTATTGGGGGGGCTGGAGGGGATGCTGCACAGGAAAGGTTTTTACGCATGAAGGCAAAAAAACTTGAGCCTTTACAACCACTTTAACCACTTCTGCTTTCCTCTTACCTTGGAGCTGCTATCCACAGCACTGCCCCCTAGTACTGTACGGACTATGCTGACAGTTCTTTTGCTACATGCCCTTGATTTTGACATACATTATCTTTAGATCAATTACGGTATTTTCCCAGTTGACCTTGGCAGGTGCCACAGAGGGAGGTTTTCTTCAAAATTTTGCTATGGGGCCATTTGATCTTTACTTACGACCCAGTCCACACGAACTACACCTGATATTTATGTGAATTAAGTGAATGTTTGGATGGTAACTATTATGAGATAAACTAATGAATGCAGATAAAACTAGGTAATCTGAACACTGATTCAAAGAATGACTGTAGGTGGTTCAAAAAATACAAGCTATGCTCCTAACTTTGAGCTTGACTTGTGTTTTGTGGGATGTTGTAACAAGCAATTAACAAGTATTAACCAGCACCTACAGCCGTTCTGGATTTGGAGTCCCCCTGAGAGCAATACTGATCAGATGAAGAGAAGAAGAAAAGATAAAAGTATTGGGTGTATATTGCTGTAAGAATTGGGCGAAGAACTGAACTGGTTTCATTGTTGGTTTAAGAATGAAATGGTATCTCCTGCCCACCATTTTCAGGTTAATATTTGGCCATGTTTGTCCAACGTCATGGAATAGTACAAAGGAGTATAAATATTACACAATAAAGAGATACAGTATGTATTCAAATGGGTGTTATGATCCCAATTTTGGCCATGGTGTTTTTAAAGGGGAATTGCACTCATCCTGTAAAAAAATACGTCAGCAGCTACAAAAGCTGTAGCTGCTCCCTGCCGCCTAAAAGGTGCCAGTCCTTAATGGGGAGCAGTCCTTCAAGCGGAACTTCCCCTTTTGGGTGGAGCTCTGTTTTAAGGGGTAACTTTAAATGTAACAAACATTAAACAACTAAATTAATTCATAAGTGTAGCCTTAAAGTGGCATGAAACCCAAAACAAAATCAAAATATATTTTAGCTTGCCAATCCATAAGGTGGTGGCTGCTTTAGTTTTCCTTTTTTTCGTTTTTTTTTTTTTGTTATTTTCACCTGGTGATCTATCCAGTAACTCACTTCCTGTCTTAGAGTGGCTTTTCTATCTATGGAAGAGAAGAGACACTCTTGACAGCTTCTTTGTCTGCAGAGGGTAGTGTTAGATGGGGGATGAGGGGGACACCTTGCAGACTCCGATAGCAAGAAGAAGGGGAGGGCAGGGAAGCAGAGTCTTTTGCAGTATCCCATGGGGTTCCCACTAAATACTAGGGACCCAATTATTCTTTATGAGGCTAATCCACTTGCAGTGTCTGTACGTATAAAGGTTCAGCAAGCAGCAAAAAGCTGATATGTGCAAGCAATAATAAGATCCTTAAACCAGATTCTATTCAGTCTGTCAGTATGTTTAACGAAGAGCAATCCTATGTATAATTCAACAGACATCCATTATGGATAGTTTAATAATCATAAATTACTAACTAACCTTGAGGGCAACAGGTACAAAGAAAATGAGAAGGTGCAATAGGTTATTGTCAGGCAAGTATTTTAATTAGACACATTTACAGCTCACTGTTGCCTAAATTGCATAGCTGTATATTCCTATGAAACATAATCCCCAAAGCTTCCATTTGTTTACTTTCCAAATTGGCAATTAACTACAGTTGTCTAATTTGGACAAGGGGTATTTCCTGTAAGACAGTTGAATATTTATAGTTTTCAGATGAGTGCAAATATCTTGAACTGAAATACCTGGACTATACTTTTCCACTAGTTATTTAAAATCTAAGTGCACCTTTTGTAAAATAAAAATTAAAAAAATGCAGATCTTTTTGCAGGTAGAAAATTGTGTGTGTATTTATTATTTTTTTTTTACATTGTAGCCTGTGAAGGATCCTGCAGACTCTCAGTAAGCTGTCTACCTGTACCTCCCATACGGGCAGGCAACTACTGACTAGAAGGAAGAATCAATGAGCTACGAGAGCACCCACAAGTGCACTAGTACTTGTGGTCTACTCTTTCACAGGAGACCATAGATATTGGAGAATTGCAAAAGATGTTGCAAGTTAGGCAATGTGATAAGAGGGTTTTTAAGGGTCATGAGTGCATCATCCACAAACAGAGATAATCTGTGCTGCATTGCGACATATTGGACCCCTGAGATGTTGGAATTGCCCCTGAGTGCTATGGCTAGGGTTTCCAGGGTGAGGATGAAAAGAGCTTTGGATAGGGGGCACCCCTGTCTGGTGCCTCAAAAAATGGGGAAAGGATTGGAAAGGGCTGATCCATGCTAAGAACAAATAGACTCCTCAAAACTATGGGAGATAATCTCAAAACTGGGAGTTGCTGGGAGTTTTTCAAGGAACAATAAATCTTGTAGGTCCCTCAAGACCATGACAAGGTGAGACAATTCTGGAAAGAGCCACTCTTTCAGATTGCATCTTTTAGTGGTGGGGAGGCAAATGTAGACCCAATCTGCAGTTTTTCATTAGTTAAGTTTAGTTCTACTTTAGGACATGAGCATAGCTTACAATCAGAATGAACTGCACTCGTGTGACCTACAGAAGTAGAGCCAAAAGTGCTTTGACTGTACTTATCCTTTAAGTCAAGTCGAAACCGTTCAAAGAGAAGTTATGGCTATTTTATTGTTTGCAGATGTAACCAGAATTTCTATTACTGGATTCTGCAGTTCCTTTTTTCTGTCATAAGCTAGTAGTGACCTTGAGCTCCTAAATCTCAAATATAGACCACTGGAAGATGTAGTATAGACCTTGAGTGGTGCCATTATAGTTGTTGGTCAGGAAACTACAAGCCCTAATATGCCTGCAGGCAGGTGGAGTCCAAAGGAGGGTGTAAAAATGGAAAAGCCCAGGAAAGAGTGGGGGTTGTTGGGAGAACGCCGCCAGCCAGTACGGAGAGTGTGGAGCTGCCCCTGGGAGAGAGAGAAGAAAGGGAACTGAGGAGACCAGATTATGACTATTTAGTGTAGCCATTGGTGGGTCTGCACTATCCAGAGAGCCACTCGCTGTAGCCGCAGATCGCTGGACTGAGACCTATAAAGTCTCAGCAATTGACACCCGTTACTAGATACTGCTCTGAGGGCTGTCCATTCGTTACCTGGCATGCCAGAGCATACAGCTCTGCATAGTGGTCTGATCTTCCTGCCGCTCAGGTCTGTTTCAGGGAAACAAAAACTGCCCTATCAGTGGGATTACTATTCATCAGACCACAAGAGGAAGCTGTCTGAAATCATCCTCTTGCCAAAGGGGGGCCCCTTCATTGGTACAGCCTGCTGCAACAAATCTGAGGGAGCTTGTGTGTGGGTCATTGATCCATTACTGTCCTACTTGTTGACAATGTACAGATTCTTTGTGAAGCTTGATCATCTTTTGCCTTTCCCAAGTTTTGCATTTGTCTACTAGCAAACACTGCTAGTCCTATTTGGCCAGAGCCAATATCACAAACTTTAATTCATTGCCTGGCCTCTCCCACTCCAGTGGTTTAAGGAACCCATTGTTTTCTTCAGATTATTTTACTGAGTGCAGACTATTCAATGCCAATAAGTGTGCTAATGTCTTCAAGGGCCCCAACACATCCGGCAGAAGACTTAAGCCTTGTACACAGAAATCGTATGAAAAATACCACTTTTGAAGTGATTGTACGGTTATCTGATCGTTAGTACACAGCTTTCACCCAAAATTATTTGAAGGGACAAACATGAAAAATGTTCTCGTACGATACCAGATCATACAATTTTTGTTTAATCAGTATAGTTTTCAACCAAAAGCACAATACAAATACATTGCATCACTTCCGAATCTTCTTTCTGTCGCACAAGAATTTTCGTATCTTTAGTAACCTGTTCACTTTCGATATGAGTCTAGCATGCAGAATAAAAACGGATGACCATTTGTGCGATATTCTCGTGTGTACGGGGCTTTACTCTGTGGACTGTACATAGTTCACTCACTGTTGAGGGCAGTTACCATTACATTGCAATCTTCTTTTATGAGAAGGCCTAGGCTTAGCTCCCTTGTCCCTTGTCATAAGAGCCCATTGGCAACTTGGCCTCTAGCTGTGTTGTTACCTATCTTTTTTCCCTAATGCTGCCCATTTAGTGAAGAGAGCTACAGTTTATGCTGGTCAGATTTGAGTTTATCATAGTACCCTAAATATCTCAGACAACATCAGCGTATTGTGTATGTTGTTAGATTTTTCACTGCTATACCCTGTCTTATCTGATAATTACTTGACAATATACTCTATTTGCTACAAAGTCTCAAGTCTGATTTCAGGGTGATACCAAGGTATTGAAAAATCACTAGCCTACCTCTGCTAAAGTTTGCTTTTAAAACAGGGTTTTGTTTGCACACATTTGCAAATACATGCGTAAGCATGTTTGTTTGTGATGTGCATTGCCCTTCCATATGCACCTTACTGCTAAGGCTGGTGATAAGTTTGTTTTTGTTCAGTTACCTCTGCTAAAGTGATTAACCTGAGGTGAGGCATTTATCAGAGTCACGACATGAACAGAGGACCCAGAATACCCCCCATGGGGGTGGCGCTATACAGAATTTATTGTGATGATAAAACAACACACCGTTCGGATAATTAAGGTGTGAATGACTACCATTAGAAATACAACGTAATATTTAACTGCTTCCCCGCTGCCCTATAGCAGAAATACTGCTACAAGGTGGCAGGGGTGCGCAAAATCACATATATATATACGTGATTTTGCATTTTCCGGGTTGCATTTCCGGTTTGCATCTCGCGCACGCCCTACCCGCGCCACCATTCGCGACCGCGGCTGTCAATCACCGGGTCCCGACCGGTGATTACCCATCGGCGCCCGGTGGTTACCAAGGATGTCTGACGGGGAGAAGGGCTTTCTTTGTTTACTAACAGTCCTCCTCCCCTGTCGGCTTGGGCACACTGCTCTGGATGGCTGTGCATAGCACAGCCATTCAGAGCAGTGTGCTTACAGTGAAGCATCAACATACCGCACCCCAGTAAAACACTCCCAGCACACAGTTAACCCTTTGATCGCCCCTTATGTTAACCCCTTCCTGCCCAGTGCCATTAGCACAGTGTCAGTGCATTTTTTTAGCACTGATCCCTGTATTAGTGTCACTGGGGATGTCAGTGACACCAAGTCAGTTCCCCCCAGTGTCAGAATGCCCGCCACAGTCCCGCTGTAAGTCGCTGATCATTGCCATTACTAGTTGAAAAAAAATTCCAGTAGCTATACCGCCATTTGTAAACTCTATACCTTTCACGGAAACCAATTAATTTACACATATTGGGATTTTTTTTTTTTAGCAAAGACATGTAGCAGAATACATTTTGGCCTAGATTTTTAAATTTGTGGCAAAATTTCATTTTTAAAATTTTTTACTGGACATGTTTAATAGCAAAAAGTCAAAAATATTGTTTTTTTTTCTATAGTGCAAAAAAATAAAAACCGCACAGGCAAACAAATATCACCAAAAGAAAGCTCAATTCATGGAAAAAAAGGACGTACATTTCATTTGGGTGCAGCATTGCATGACCATGCAATTGTCAGTTAAAATAATGCAGCGCTGTAACGCAAAAAATGGCCTGGTCAGGAAAGGGGGTAAATCCTCTAAAGGGCCAGTGGTTAATGAGTGAACTAATGTCCTGGTACAGTGAATTCCCACCCGATCCCATGGATCCCATGTGCTGTAGTTATTGTATTGAACTATGCCACTGCATATGTAGAGTAATACTATCTGACATACATCTGACTCTCTGTGACTTGAATGTGCATAAAGTCTAGCAAACTCTCCATGTGTGACAGTCATGGGGGGAGTGAATGAGAAGTAATTGGCCACTTCATTAGATCATTTCCATCTTCGTCTTCTTACAGATGTACTGTGCATATTTCCCTAACAAATGATGTTCTGATATGTGTAATATTTTATTTAGATAGTGACAGGTCTGTCTAGTGTAATTCTTCAATATTTATTTGAGATCTGAGATGACAGTTCTAAATGCATCATATATGCAGCTCTGTGCGGCTTCCCCTTCGCCGTTATTCATGCCCCATCTCCGTTCAACTTTATTATGTGGTCCGGTGTAAATGCTTGTTTATTGTTTGTCTGTCAGACTTATGAATAATTATGTACCAGAACAAAAAGACTATTGTAAAGCATATCATTCATGTAGGGGTGATAGGAAATACATCTATTAATAAAGCTCTTATACTTAGATGGGAAGGTGAGAACAACATGAATGAATTGGTGGAGGCTGTTCCAATATACATGTATGCTCAACATTTATAAATAAATTATCTTTTTATTTATTTTTTATCTGTATTAATTAGGCAAGTGTCAGGACGAGCTGTACTAGCAAACGTTGAGGATTGATACTGAAAATGATTGTAAAAGGATTTTTTTTATTAAAATAGCAAACATGGTATACTTACCTGCACTATGCAACTGTTTTGTACAAAGTAGTCCTGATCCTCTTTTCCGGACCGCCACCAGTGCTCCAAGCCTCTCCCTCCTGCTGAGTGAGGAGCCACTTGCTATGGGGGCATCATTGCAGGCTCAATCCTTAGCCGCGCTCTGTGTGTCCATTTACACACATAGCACATCTCAACCTTGCCCCTGCTCTCTCCTCACAGGCTGTGATTGACAGCAGCAGAAGCCAATGGCTCCCGCTGCAGCCTCCATGGCCAGTGAGGAGAGAGCCACTGCTCTTGCTTGCAGAGCTGGATTGAGATTGGGCTCAAGTAAGTATAAGGGGGAACTATGGGGAGGAGAGATGCACACAGAAGGTAAAAAACCTTCTGCCTTTAAACCATTTTAAAGTAGGATTAAACACTCCTTCAAATATGATAATATTGCAAGGAATGTGGAATGAAAGTTTTAAACCCAAAAGCAAACATTTATTATTTTGCAGCTTACCAATCCTTAGATGTGACGGCTGCATTTGTTTTCTTTTTTTCTATTTCAATGGTCTTTATTAAATTTTTTAAACAGTATAAACAGAGGCAATAAAACACGCCCACGCAGGGGCTATCAATTGCACAGATAAACAAAATGCAAAATAAAAAAAAAAGGAAAAACAATGCTCTAATGCCAACAGGGCAAAAGGTACGCCCACGCAGGGGCTATCAGTGGCACATAAGGTACAAAACAGTAATGTAACTGATTATAACAATTAAATGCAGCTGTCCAGTCACACCAAAAACAGAGAGAGAGAGAAAAAAGAAAAGAGAGAAAAAAAAAAAAAAAAAAAAAAAAAGGGGTGGGGGGCAAAGAGCAGGGATTCAAGAGCGCCAATACCGAACGCCATTACATCCCCAGACTAGCCGGGGGGAGTGAGGGAAGGGCATATTGCAACCACGGCTCCCATATTTTCAAAAATTTACGTTGGGAGTCGTTGCGGATACTCGACATCTGTTCGTTGAGCATCATAGTGGTCATACGATCCCGCACCCCCTGAAGAGGGACAAAAGGACTCTTCCAGGCCTGAGCAATTGTCCTAGTGGCGGATAAAAACAGATAGGAAGCCAACTTCTGCTGGTGGCTAAGAGGCCCGGTATGGGGCAATGAAGCAAGGCATACCGAGCATCCCGGCGTATGGAGAGATGGAACAAGGTGAAAAGGAGGCCAAATACACGAGACCAAAAACGAAACAGTCTCGGGCATGACCACCAGATATGTAATACATCACCACGATGACCACAACCCCGAAAACATTGATCACTACAGGCAGGGTTAGCCCGGGCCAGCCGAGCCGGAACCCAGTACCAACGAAACAATACCTTATAGGCTGCCTCCAGTGTGGTCGTATTAAATGAGCATTTAGCTATGAGTGACCAGGCCTTATTCCAGTCCTCCGGATCCACAGCCACTCCCAGGTCGCGTTCCCACTGAACAACATATGAAAGAGAAGTATGCGACGAGCGTCTGTTCAGAGCTGCATAAAGAAGGGATATAAGGCCCAGAGCGCCCGGACGCAGTTGGCAGAGCTGTTCAAAGGCAGATTTCTGGTACGGGAACGCAGAAGTACCCCGCAGCGAGAGCAGCCAGTGTCGCAATTGAAGATATCGAAAAAATTCCGCCGGGGGGATATTCCGGGATTCCCGAAGAGAGTCCCAGGTGGGAAAGGACCGAAAAATCAAAAAGTGTCGCACCTGCGAAAAACCATTCGTCACCCACCAAGAAAACGCCCCTGGGTGATCCAAACCCGGCGGGAAAAGAGGGTTGTTAATAATTGGGAGCAAAGGCAGAAAAGGTGACATCAGACCACCAGAGTAACGCGCCGAGTCCCAAACTTGTAGGCCATGAAGTAACATCGGACTCAGTGCCATAGGGCGCAGGGCAGGGGGAAGCCATAGAAGCGTCGACAGTGCGATAGGGGCACAATTAGGTAGTTCCAACAGGACCCAGAGGGGGACGTCGGAAGAGGCGTGCAACATAGACAGCGGGGCAATCTGGCTCGCTTGATAATACTTAGTCACATTAGGTACCCCAAGACCACCCTGAAGTCTATGGGCAAAAGCGTACTTTTGGATACTCTGGGGTGCTTATCGGCCCAGATAAAACGCATTAACTTCTCCTGAAGCAACCGAAGAAAATGAGGGGGAACCCGCACCGGGAGTGTGCAAAAATAATACAACAATTTCGGCAAGATGGTCATTTTCACCGAATTAACCCGTCCTATCCAAGACAGGTGCGGAAATTGCCAAGAATGCATAAGAGAGGATAGAGAGCTAAGCAATGGATAGTAATTCGCAGCAAACAAGGAGTCATAAGTGGGGGTCAAGCGAATGCCTAAGTATTCAAGAGAAGAGGAAGCCCATTTGTAAGGGAAGTGGGATTGTAGGCGCGAAACCAAATCTGAAGCCAAAGTAATATTGAGGGCGACAGTCTTATCCAAGTTGATACGGAGACCCGAAATCAAGGAGAAGCGCTCAAGAACCTGTTGCAAATTAGGAAGCGTCGTCAGGGGGTTAGTAAGAGTCAGGAGGGCATCATCCGCAAAAAGGTTCAGTTTGAATTCCTGTCCCGCGTAAGGAACCCCCGATACATTGCAATCGGTCCGAAGCGCCAAAGCCAACGGCTCAAGCGCCAGGACAAAGAGCGCTGGGGACAGGGGGCAACCCTGTCTCGTCCCTCGCCCAATAGGAAAGGGATCTGAAAAATACCCAGCGTATTTGACGGAGGCCGAAGGAGAAGAATACAAGGCCTGAATCCAAGAAAGAATAGAATCCCCAAAACCCCAACGAGACAGCACAAACCGCAGATATTCCCAGGATAGAGAATCAAAGGCTTTATATATGTCTAAAGACAGTAAGAATCCCGGGATTTTCCGCTGTTGCAGAAAATGTATCAGATGGACCACCTTTTTGTTTTCTTTTTTAAGCTTTCTATGTATCTGGAGACCTGGCCAGTAAGTCTTTTGTTTTTCAAAAGATCAAGCTCTCTTCCAGATGGCAAACACTGACAGGAATGCTTACAATGAAAAAAACTGCTGTAACTGCTTATAAACTGTTGCCTGGAGTTCAGCTTCAGTTTGTTAGTATATTTAAATCTGCTGGTACATGTAACCCTCCCCCCCCAGACCAACAATACTGCTGTCTACTGTGCCCCCTGTGCTCCTTCATGCAGAGTGTAGGCTTTATAATACAGGAGGTGTGTTACTGGCTAGATTACCAGGTGAAAACAGAGGGGAAAAAGCCTAAAAAAGAAAATGAATGCAGCCACAACGTACATCTAATGACTGGTAAGCTGCAATATATGACATTTTTTGTTTTGGGCTTAATAATGCTTTCAGTTAATACCCCATATTTTAACTGCTCAGATCATTCCTTTGTACCATTACTTCCAGTTAGGTGCACCCATGCTGAAGCCACACTTTCAAAATCACAGAATACCCAATATCATTACAATTTCAATATCACTACAAAGCTCAATGACCAAAGGGCATCAGCACAAGAGGGATGAGGCTGTTATGCTGGTCAGACAAATGGCATGCTGACTTTCAGTGTAGAGCAGGGATGATTATCCCAGAATGACATCCTGGCTCCTGTCAAAGGAAACTTGAACGGGCTTTGCTATTTAATCAGAAGTTTAGTGGTACAGAAGGACAGGAAAGCTGGCAAGGTTGGCATCACTTCAGCACAATAAATAAATAGCTCTTGCATATACTTTAAAGCAAAAAAGAAGAGGTTTT